GTATAGAGCGAGCATGTGCAGTCATTGTCAGACTTGACAGAGCCGCTCTGAGAATGCCCATGCGCTTGGCTGTGTTAGACCATCAGGGCATGTTACGTTATTTAGCGGTTGTTACAAACATGGGCATGACCCACCGCATGACACATCGTACCGCAAGCTTTAACGTACCGCTTTGTGATCAGGTTTGTGGCATGCATGACTTACGTCGGGACCGGAGTCCTGCTATGGACGTGATGACGATGAGACGCATATTTCGAATTTACCGTAACCGCACTTCCTGTTTGCGCGCACTTACCGCCGCGTGCACGCCACAAGCACAGTTACGGGACATTGCTGCGGCGACCGGGTCCCGTTTCGGCGCTGGTCGACAGATCTCGCGTGTCTGGCATGCCATTCGGGAGGACGGTCATCGAGTTCGAGCCGCGGGCGCCGCCGGTCTCCGGTCGCCACCGTTCGCGGTCACTCGGAGCTGCGCGTGCCGGTCGGAGCGCGGCGGGCGTCGCCGGCGCTGGCCCGCCCAGTCAGCGTCGGGCCGCGGCTGCGGGAGCGTCGCAGACGGCGCCGCAGTGACCGGCGGGCGGGGAGCGGGGAGCTGACGCCGCGTCACGGGTGCTAGACCACGAGCGTCGCCCCGGCCCACGCCGCCCCGGCCTACGCCGTCCCCGCACTCGCGCCGTCCCCGCGCCCGCCACCGCGCGTCGACGCGCGCGTGTGAGCCCGCCCGGACCCGGGCGACGCTGCAGCCGGGCGCCGCGCGGGCGTCGTCGTCACAAGCGCCGCCGCCGGCCTCAGCCGCGACGTCGGCGCGATGCCGTGCATGCCGTCCGGCCGGCGGGCCGACAAGCTGCGTGCCGACGAGGAGGACGCGGACGAGGACCCCGTGCTCGACTCGTGGTACAGCTGGGTGGTGGTGCTGGCGGCCGTCGTCGTGTTCACCTTCCTCAGCGGCCTGCACAAGGCGATGGGTCTCATGTTCCTCACGCTGGCCGAGCAGCACGGCCGGGCTGAGGCGGACGTGATGGAGGTGGGCGCCGTCTTCCTGGCCGTGTCGTTCCTCGTGTCGCCGCTGAGCGGCGCTCTTTGCGCGCGCTTCGGGTCGCGCCCGGTGGCGACCGTCGGTGCGTCGATGTGCGCGCTCGGCTACCTCCTGAGCAGCCTGTCAACGTCGCCGCGGCTGTTGTGCCTGACGCACGGCCTGGTGGCTGGCGCCGGCGTCGGCCTCACCAATACGCCCTCGCTGCTGGCCGTGGCCGGCTACTTTCGACGGCGCCGCGGCCTGGCGAACGGCGTGGTGATGATGGGCGCGGCGGCCGGCGGCGCCTGCCTGCCGCCGCTGGTCGAGGCGCTGCTCGCCGAGTACGGGCTCGCCTGGACGTACCGGCTGCTGGCCGCGGCGCAGCTCAACATGATCGCCGCGGCGGCGCTGTACCGACCGCTGGAGCTGCAGCGGCGGCTGGTACTGCGCGCAGCGCCACGCGGGCCGCCGCCGACCGCTGCTGCTGGACTGGCGCTGGGCCCGCCTGCTGCTACCGCGCTGCTGAGCGCGCCTGCTGCCGCGCCGGCGCTGCTCAGCCCCGCCATCAGCCGCTCCAGTCTGATGCTGAGCCAGCTGAGCCTGGTCGTGCCGGCCGAGGCGGAGGCGGCGGCGGACGTTGGGCGCGGGCAGCGCTGGTGGCGGCGGCCGCTGCGCTACCTCGACCTGCGACTGTTCGCCGAGCCGCGCTTCCTCTGGATCGCCGCCTGCGTGCTGCTCTACAACGTGCAGCTGCCGCAGGCCACGCTGCTCGTCCCGACGTTTGCCAGCAGCCGGGGCGTGTCGCGCGCCGAGTCGGCCTCAGCGGCGGCGCTGGCGGCGCCACTCGACTGCGCCGCCCGGCTGGCCACCGGCCTGCTGCTGGACCGACCGCGCTGGCCGCGCCCGTTCAGCATGGCGCTGGTGTGCGGCGCCGCCGCTCTGGCCGCCGCCGCCCTGCCGCACGCGCACGACTGGGCCGGCCTGTTCGCCGTCACCGTGCTCATGTACGGCTCGCTCGGCTCCTACTTCGTGGCGCTGCCGGTCGTGTGCGCGGACACGCTGGGCGTGGAGCGGCTCGCCTCCTCACTGACGCTAGCGAACCTGGTGGCCGGCCTGAGTAACCTGGCGGCGCAGCCTGGCGCCGCCGCCGTGCGCCGTCGTACCGGGTCGCTTGAGCCCGTGCTGTACGCGATGACGGGCTGCTCGGCGGCCGCCTGCCTCGTCGCGCTGGTGCTGCCACCTGTGATCAAGCGCCGCGCGCTGCCGGCGCCCCCAGCCGTCCTCGTCAGTCGGGCGGAGCACCAGGCGGTGCCGGATGACCTGTGATGCGGTACACACCGGCTGCTCCGGCTCCCGGGGGAGGGTGCTCCGGCTCCCGGGGAGGATGCTCTGGCTTCTGGGGACGAATCCTACGGTTTCCGGGGAGGATGCTCCGGTTCCTGGGAGAGGATGCTCCCGCTCCTGGGGGCGGATGCTCGAGCTCCCGGGGAGGATGCTCCCGCTCCTGGGGGAGGATACCCCGGCTCCTGGGGGCGGATGCTCCAGCTCCCGGGGAGGATGCTCCCGCTCCTGGGGGAGGATACCCCGGCTCCTGGGGGCGGATGCTCCAGCTCCCGGGAGAGGTCACTCCGGCTCCCAGTGAAGATCCTCCCGCTCGCAGGGGAGGATGTTCCCGTGCGGTGGGCGTTCTTGTCGCGGTTCTGGATGTGTCTTGTTGGACATTGAAAAATGTCATGAGATGACGTAATGCCCTTGACCGCTTGCTGTAGAAATTTGTTCAGAATATGTGCCAAGATAGTGTACTTCACTTATGTTGGTTTTAATGTGGCGTAATCAACATGTTTTATACGCGTGATGATTCCGTGGCACATCAGAACTGAGCTGGTATTCCATACCAATGCAAAATTTTTCCACACATTTCACAAAATGTGCTTATCTGTCGCCAGTGGCACAACCAGCTGATGTGCCTCGGCCTTTGTGGTGTTTGGATCACCGGCTGTTGTGGGCTTCAAAAAGTCCTGGCACCTTATAACGGCGTGCCATGCCCTGTGAAGTTTGAGGGGGATTGGGCAATTACGAGGACAATTATGAGATAAGTGACAAGCAGCACAAGGTGTTACAAAGTCGTTTTCATCGGACAGGTCAACGAATCATTATCAAGCGAAGCAAAAGTTTGTGCCGTTCACCTAAAGGGACCAAGTACATCCAACGCTTTTTATTTTCCATATCATTGTTGTCCGTTATGCTAGGCCATGCTAGTCCGTTTCGATAGCATCGTTGGTTGGTTACTATGTTCGATATGTTATAGATAACTCAGTTAGTTAGATTGTTTGCCTTCCGATCCACCTACCTGAGGTGGGATGGGTGCGAGTCGTTTTAGGCGCTCGCTATTTGCCCTTGACAGATATGGCCTGCAGCCATTGGTGGAGACTCACTTAAGCTCAGGTGACGTCAGAGGGCAGGATGGATCGTGCCGAGCATTACGGCATGTAAGACTGGCTCCGCCAAATTCTGACCTTGACCTGGAATTACGTGATCGCAAAGTAGGCTTACGAAACAAGCAATGCTTAGCGTGTGCTCTGATACCATAAATTCATCCATTCAAAAGGTTTGGATTTGACGTTCATAAAAAGGCTATAAAATGGCGGCCATAACAACATTTTTGCAGCCCTAGCAAATAAGTAGTGGCCGAAATGGTGCCAGTTTTGAGAATTGGTATAGCGGCATGACCATGATTCAAAAGACTGTCAGGATTATGCTGACTAGTAACACGTGCTCGCCCGTAGTGCTACCCGAAACCCCAGAGTTGCAGGACTACTGCATCGTTAAGAGCAAACTTCGGGCAAAATACACCTAGCGAGTTATAAGAGCACAGTGGAACTTTTTACGCATCCGACAGAATATTTCTTGCCGGGCATGCCCTTTTAACCTTGCTGTTACATGTCAGTTAGCTAACCAGAGCATAAGACTAGCGATATAAGCACAAAAACTTGCGTTAGTCGGTTGCGACCCAAAACATCTGTACCACGAAATTTGATCAAACCTGGTATGTTCTGTTCTGCTCAATTCTCGGCAGTAAGGAGGCAGTTTAGATACTTTACACTACGTTTCTGCGAGGAATGTGATTGCGAGTCAGCCATGTTTTGGTATGCTCTGAATATTAGCCCGGCTTCTTCACTGAGGTTCGATGCAAACGCCCGTGATGGTCTTGACTTGACGGAACAGCCCGAAAACCGTGCAATCGGGGTTTCGCGATGTATTCTAAATGACAAACAACGGAGACCATATTCATCCAGCTACAAAATGAGCACTAGAACTTTAATACACCCGAATGCAAGCGCCACCACATACGGTTACGAAGTACCGCAGACGCTGGCAATCCGTTCATATACACATCGTAGCGCCTATCCTACGTCGTTTGATGTCGTTCATACATAACTGTAGACAGAGGTCAGTTTGCCTGTACAATGCGAACTGAGCAAGACCCAACATCGCCGTCTGACGACAAAGTCTTGGCTGACCTTGGTTGACACTGGGTTATATGGGTTGCCACGCAACCAATGCGCACAAGACATTGGGACGTCGATGGACAAAACAGGAACACCACTGGCACCGCGCAGCCAGACAGACACGAGATAGGGAGCAGTCATCCCCTGATAAACGGACGGCTTTATGAGACCTGAAATTATCCGACGGGAAGACGCTGCGGAGAAAACGAGCTGGGTCGACTCGTAGACCTCGAGAGTGGAACATCACAATGACCACGCCGACCCACGGCTAGCATCGAGGGATACTGCCATGACGTCGATATCCGTAATATCTGAGATGCCGTGGTTGCGTCCAGCGGTCCGCCACAGGGAGGGGAGCTGGAGGGCACGAGCTGCCGGGCCGTGTCTGAGACGCCTGGCGCCGGTCCCAGTCCGCCGGCGACCGCCCCACCAGCGGTTCACCGGCCCGCCGCCGGTGGCGCCACCGGTCCGCCGGCTCAGTTTATGATGAAGATCAACGCCACGGCGAGGATCACGCCGAGCACGACGACGGCCAGCGAGATGACCAGGACCTTCTTGAGGCCGCCGCAGCCGACGGGCTGCTTCTGCTCGGGCGGCGGCGGCACGAGCGACGGCTTGCGCGGATCTCGCACGGGCAGCTCCCGCGGCGCGCCGTTCTCGGCTCGCACAATGGGCCGAGGGCGCATCAGCGGCGGCAGCAGACCGGGCGGCAGCAGGGCGCGGCCGAGCGACGAGGCCGGCGGCGGCGGCGGCCCCAGCAGCGCGCCCTTGCGGTCGACGGTCATCACGCCCGGCGGGTACGCGTCGGGCGGCGGGCCGTACAGCGAGTGCGGCGTTCCCACGCGCAGGTCGTAGAGGCTGGCGGCGCGCGGGGGCGCCAGGCCGGCGTGCGGCGGCGGCGGCAGCGAGAGCGGCCCGCCCGGGCCGGGCAGCGCCAGCGGCGGCGGCGGGTGGTGGTGCACGGGGCACGGCTCGCCGTCCCAGGTGAGCGGGCCGGCCGGGCCCGGCAGCAGCAGCGGCACGGACTGCGCCGAGCGGATGGTCGGCGGGCCGCCGCCCGACACCGGCACTAGGTGCAGGGCGGGTCCTCTGCAACCCGGCGTGGTACTGTCATGCACGGGACGGCCCGCGACACCGGTACCTCACGGACCGAGCGAACTTCCATCATGGCACGAAGCCGCCACAGACGATACGGTCCTGACAAACGAGTCAGGGGTACCACTGATTGGGCAACACTCCGCCGATGTACAAGCTGCCACGAACGGAACTATCCTGAATCACGAGTCACGACACAGGATATCACGATTTAGCAACACTGCGGCACGGCATGGGGTCTTGTGGACGGAGCGATGCCCAACTGAGTTTCCCAAGGGTCGCTCGTGGATGACGTGACATTGGAGGAGAGCACGATGTTTTAATCGAGGAGCTGCGTCATACCGTGGAACGGGATCTGGCAGGTTGAGCAACACCACTACAACGCTTCGGGGGGTTTGGGTTGGGTTGGGTTGGGGGGGGGGGGGGTGGACCGATACTAAAGCACGGTTTGCGCACGATTAAAGGGACAACGGCACAGCGCTAGTACGAGATAATATGTCAATGTCGCATGCATCACGAATTGGCATTGTCTGAGGTTTGCGCCGTGGAATTAAAAGATGGTGTCACGAATTTCGGATTCCATTGTCCCTCCTAGACGTATCGAGCCAGGCTATACCCCACAATTCACAATCTTGAAATACGCCGTCTTAAATCACCTAACCAACTAGGCGTAGAATGCGTTACGTAAAATGCGATGCAAATGAGTTACATAGCACTGTCTCGATGCTGGCACAGCATTTACACTGCGATGCCCCTCGAGTCGACCAGTACGCGTGTGACCCCCGCGACGCTGTGACACCTGCTCGTCGCCTTCATCGCCCCGCTCACCCTGGTCCGGCGTGGGTGGGCACCTTGGTGCCCTGTGAGCTCTCCGACGAGCCGGACGTGCTCTCCGAGTCGGGCGGCGGCCGGCCGCGGTACTGCACCGGCGGAGCTTCGCGCGTCGACCGCTTGGTGCGCGACGATCGCTCCGTGTTGGACGTCTGGTCGGAGACGGAGCCGGCCCCACGCCGGATGTGGTCTGCCGGCGATGACGCGGTGGGATGACGCGCCGGAGAAACGGCGGCCGTGAGACGCGCGCTCCGCGCCCGCCGCTCTCGGGCGGGCGCTGGGGCTCGCGACGGCTCGAATTTTACACACGTTGGCAGTGCAGACGCGGTTTGGCGTCGATTGTAAGTTTGTAGCATGCATTCTAGTTATGGCAGAATAAATCTGATATTCATATTCGGCTGAGGGGCCGTGTCATGCAACTCCGACGTTGGTGACGCTTCCTTTCTGGATGGCGTAAACAGTGTCTGCCGGGGGGAGCCGGAAGTTCCAGTATCCCTCCTCTCCCCTGGCGGCGAAGTGGTTCCCTGTGTCGAGATCTGGAGGTGTTTGAGCTGTGAACAGTATTTATGTTTGAACAGCCCTTACTAGCTCCGGCGCCTCACTGTGACTCGCTCTCTATCTTCATCAATGAAGCTCGTCGCCTGGTGAAGGCCCGGCCCCGGTTTCGCGTCCAATGGCGGCTCAGCGATCTCCCGGGGTGTCCACATCATAAATCTACTCCCCTGGGAAACCTGCTCAATGGACGGCCGGTGTGACGTCATTTAGTCGAGGAACGCACACCGCGGGGTACTGGGGCAGAAAAGTGGTCCCTAGGCACTCACGTCCAGCCCTGTACGTGCTGGGGCGCCCCTGTTGGCACCCTTCCTGAGGAGTGCAGGCACTCCAGCTCGGCTGGTTGGGTGTGGTTCCCTGCATGCGGTCCACTTCCGTCTGGCGACAGTTCTACCGCCGCTCCGTGTTGCTGTTTTGTGGTGAGGTTCTCAGCGTGTGGGCAGCCAAGATGACGGTCCGACCAGTCAGTTGGGTGATAAAGTGGCGTTAAAGCGGTTTTTGAAACGGGTGTTTTACACATATGTTCTACAGTCTGGTGACATTCTGGGATGCCATTTAGCCGCTAATGAGGGTGTTCGTAGTGGCTGCTACCTGGGCTCAATTGTGGGCTCGCCATCACTTATAAATCCAGCTCCGGGTCTGCTCGACCGCTTCCAAACGTGGCATGTTACTCATTTCCGTGTAAATGCTGTTGACTAAATAATTCATGATGCGTAGCAATCAATTTCGTTCATTAGAAAAAAATACTCGAGAGTTAAGCTGACGCTGTTTGCAAAAAGCATTATTAGATGGACTTTAAAGTGAATAAACATTCACTGTATTAGAACTTAAGCCCACGACAAACCTGCGAGCATCAAAAGACAAATCAGCAAAGCTGCGACTAGGGACACATTTTGGCTTTCAAAGTTTTGTGTCTTCCTTTTTCCACTTTTATCATAATTGACTGAGGAATGTTAGATCATTTGGAAGGCCAGCGAGTCCGGGTCAAGAGAAAACCAAGAACAAACCTCAAAACTTTCAGACTGAGTTGACTTTTCCATTACCATGCGACTCCTTGTCCTGTCGTTTTTTTTGGGAGCAATGATAATCGTTGATAAGTTGGCTCAGTCTTACTGAGTCAAAAAGCTGACTGCCACAGAGTTCTCAAATTTCAAGACTCTAAATTTCGAGAAAACAGATTAAAATCAAAGAGCCAGTATAGCTGTTCCTGTAGACCCAACTCTATATTTGGATATGACCCGGGTAGACGTTTTTGCATACTCCATTTCACATATGCTATGTTATTATATAACTGATTTATGATGATGTATGCCACCGTATGACGCTAGAATGTCATGGGCATAAGTGTGAAGCTGAAGACAGACCAAAACACCAAAGTGTGAAGCTGACCGCAAGGATGCACGAAATAGTTTTGGGACGCCTAACGTCGTCAGGCGTCCCAAGCATGAGTTATGGACCAATGAGGCGCCGAAGAGCCCTCAGGTGGTCCAGGAATTTTCCAGCACAGCGCGGAACCTCCGTGGGAATTAAAGAAATGTCGACGTTATTAATGAATTTCAGAAACTTTTAATGTTCCGAGGTCCATTAAGGCGAATTGTTGACCATTTATATAAAAATCCCGACAACAGAAGGGCCTTCTACATGGGCTGAAAACAGCCTCGGGGTGTGGAAAATGTCAAGGTAGCATGTTTACGACCCTCAGTTCCTGCTCCAAGGTCACCGACAGCTTCGGAGAATGTCAACAACCACAGAGGTGATCGGAACGTGGACCGTTCATTTTTGCCCGATCTTTCGGTTCCCCGAATGGTTGGAAGGTCGGCTGGGCAAATGACCCTCTTACTGCATGTTGCTCAGATATTTCCAAACAGCCTGACGGACGCTAAGGTACACAAAGATCGTGTCGACTATATCAGCAGGGGTCTGCCAGGTTAGAAACCTGAATGGCGATGTCTCCAAGGACCGTTAAGGCTGCAATACAGAGACACATTGGTATAATTGTGAAAAAGGGGTTATTTCTTCTGCAACAACCCCATGCCACATTGACGACACGGTTATACGATAGCCAATCCCCAAATGATCGCTGTTGATTGCGTCGTGCTCGTTACATTTTATAAAAAAACATTGGTCGCATCTTTGAACGAAATTATGCGATAGAATGGATGCAATACATCAGGCGCAGCAGGGATTCACAAACATTGAATTGTAGATATAAAGAAAGCACAACTTCCTATTTTAGTGTGAATGTCACGAGGTGTCAGAATGGATCCTTACATCCTTTCGGGAGAAACTGGCCTATGTGCGCCCGGCACCTCCCAGCGCTCAACCACGCTGAGCCTTTCTATACTTTCGTCTTTTCGAAAAAGGAGCACGACTTCCCGACATGAATCCTTTTGTTGAGCGCCAGCAACTACGATGGTCGTACAGCGAGCGGGAGCCATGGCGCAATGGAGACTGGAACTACACGATGGCCGATGGTACTAACCACTAGACCGTCCCCCCCCCCCCCCCCTCTATCATTTCCGGGCTCATGCCACGAGTGCACGGCACGTGGGCCTGAAACACAATGCGACATGGAGCACGAGCTACATTGCAACTCTCAACGGCCGGCCGGCGTGCCGCCGAGTGCTCCGAACGTGACGCGGCCGGCGCCGACTCGGGAGCAGCGGCGCACGCCGGCCGGCCAGCCGGCCGCTTGTCTGCGGCGCGCGAGGCCAGCGGCGGCGACCTCGGCCGAGGTCAGCCGCGGGCGGCGATCGCGGCGGCCCCGGCGGCGGCGCGCCCCGCTGGCGAACCAGGCCGCCGGTGTGGACGCGCGCCGCCCGTGAAATTGGCGGTCGAGGCTGGCCGGACCGGGCCGTTACGGCCGTCGTTATGCGAGGCGTGGCTGCGACTGCTGGGAGGAGGCTCTCATCGGAGCTTGCCGAGTTGGTCGGCGAAATTTGGCGATGCGGTGCTGCGGTGCGGGGAAATGTCGTCGAAGATGGGTGGCTGTGAATGCACTCTCGTGTAGGGCGTTGTTTGATGTTTGTCGGCGAACAGTCACCGTTTGTTGTCCTAAATGTTGGCATGTCCGCGTGGCAAAGGTGCACCGAAGCGTTAAACAATGCGGCGTGGGCTCTCTGACTTAGCTAACGGTAAACTTATTGTCAATGCGAATGAATTGAGGTTAGAAAGGATTCAGCCCGTTGAAATAGTGCTATCATAGACAGGAAACAGTGCACACCTTGAGATTACGACTGTATGCCACCAACAAATGTCCAAGCTAACTGCTGTGGGACATTTTGCACACCAAGCACGCACCGACTCATGCTCTTCCAACTGATTAATGATTTTCTGATGCCCCTGACCTGACCGTCCACCAGCCCACACGGGCGTGGCCGCTGCCCGAAGCGTGCGTCCTGACCTGTGCGGTAGCGGTCGCTATAGCCCTGCTGCTGGTAGTTGAGGTCGCGGTGCTGCCAGGCGATGGGGGTTCTCGCCTCCTCCGAGGTGGCCTGGGAGCGACGGCCTCCTCGGTAGTTCGACATGACCGCCTCTGGGGACACAGAGGCCGTCAGTGACGTCATGACCTCATCCTGTAGCCCTCGCGGGCTGGTCGTGTGACGTGATCTGACCGTGGCCAGCGTGACGTCTCCATATACCTAAGGATAGACGGCTGCAGAGAAGTATGCAAGATTGTGCAATTAACGTTAACCCCAAGCTCATACCACACGCATCTTGCCCACGTAGTTGTAGATTCACAAGCGCATGTCACATACTCGTGTCGATATCATACTTCGTCGAGGTTGAAGACATCATCTCAAGCTACGTAAAGCCCGCCTCCAAGCTTTCTCTTAGCTTCAGTCACCTTAGTTCTACGACTCCTCGCGGCACAATATAACACATCATTTTGGAGAACTGAGCGTTGTTTCCAGCATCACCAGAGACCGCACGACGTACTGCGATCTGGCTCCCGCCACCGTCGTCAAATTAGCCTGCTAATCTGCCCCGCACTCCGCTTCAGTTCCAGTCACTCCCTCAGTCTCAGCTCTACTGCCGGTCCACCTCAGCCTCAGCTCTGCCCCCGGTCCATCTCAGTCCTACCATACCCTCAGTACACCGCGGTTCGGGTCATGCCCTCGGCCCACCTCAGTCCCAGCTCTGCCCCAGTCCACCTCAGTTCCAGCTCTGTCCCAGTCTGGGAAACCAGAGGTACGGGGTTCGATTACCCGCTCACCCCGCCCTTCCTGCCAGGGTGAGAGGCAGGCGACGCCATATAGCCTCAGCAGCTGAGTGCGTCGTAAAGCCCCAATGACATGACATGACGGTCTGCCCCAGTCCGCCTCAGTTCCAGCTCTGCCTCCAGTCTACCTAAATCCCAGCTTTGGTCCACCCCAGTCCAAGCTCTGCCCCAGTCCACCTGCGCGTCGGCCATGCCCCAATCCACATCGTTCCAGGCATGGCCCGCGTTCCACGTCAGTCCCATCTCGGCCTTCTCCAGCGTGGACTCCCCCCCCTCCCCCTTCCCCCCCGGCCGGAAGTGGAGCAGTGCCGCCGTCCCGCGTGCCCGCCGCCAGCGTCCAGCAAGGCCTGCTCACGCAGCGTGAAGTCCAGACCGTTTGTCGCAGCTTGCTACCCGGTCGCTGAGTCGGCCGGCGCGGGCAGTCGGACACCTCCCAACAGCTGGTGAATGGCACGTTGAAGTACACCATACAGCTGACAAGCCGCCCGCCATCGACGTTAAGGGTTACGACTGAGCCGAATTCACTTCAACACAGGCGAGGTAACGTGCGTGAAATTAGACGGATCGCTGGCCATAACGGTGAAGTTACTAGCTTGCTCATTAGTTCCGCGCGGTTTGCCAGCGACTGGAGCGGTCTGTTCCACCCGATCGACCTATCTGCGTCCAATGCCATCCAATCAATTAGCTCATCGGGCGGCGGGCTCGACGGCGGGCGAGCCCGGGGCGGCCGGCGGTGCTTGACAGCTGGGTCCAGAGGCCGCCGACCGGCCGCACGCAGCCGGGCGTTGCTACGGAGCCGGCACACAGGTGGCCGGGACGATCGGTGGTCAGAGGTCAGAGACAGACTCACGTCCGGCCGGCCCCGGGGGAAGATCGGCGGTCAGAGGTCAGAGACGGGCTCATGTCCGGCCGGCGCCGGGGGAAGATCGGTGGTCAGAGGTCAGAAACGGGCTCATGTCCGGCCGGCGCTGGGGGATGATCGGTGGTCAGAGACGGGCTCATGTCCAACCGGCGCCGGGGGAAGATCGGTGGTCAGAGGTCAGAGACGGGCTCATGTCCGACCGGCGCCGGGGAAGATCGGTGGCCAGAGGTCAGAGACGGGCTCATGTCCGGCCGGCGCCGGGGGAAGCTCGGTGGTCAGAGGTCAGAGACGGGCTCATGTCCGGCCGGCGCCGGGGGAACATCGGTGGTCAGAGACGGGCTTATGTACAGTCGGCACGGCCCTCCCCCCCCTGACCTTCGGGATGGCCACCGGGGTGCGAACACGTTTGGAAGTGGTGATCGGTGAATCTTGAGCTAACCGTTTGAGTTTGGCAAACGAAAGTGTTGCGGGCAGGTCCACGACAGGAGGGCTGACGTCATGAACTGTGTTATTGGGACGTTATTGCTATGTATCGTAAGCAGTAGAAATTACGTATTTTATGAAATCAAAATTAAATTCGGAATTCTTGTGCTAACATCTCAGGTAGATATCTTTGTAACGGAACTAAATTACTCGCTTAACGGATCGCCGATGAAAAGAACGCGGCTTGGGTTCTCAGGAGGATGAGTTTGGTTGCCACCAAGCTCACGATTAATGGCGTCAATCCAGAAACCAAACGTTTTAAAAGCATTGGACGGGTTTCCCTTTGAAATGAATTGCGGTCGCATGCATTTATTTCAGCTGAAGATAAGTCAGAGCGCTACTAAAGCTACGTCACTGCGATGAAATCCGCTACCCTGATGTCGGAGCGCAGGCAGTCTTCAATAGCAGTCGAAGAAAATAAACACCTCATTAAGGCTTATGTCCAATACCGCAGCACAAACCACTGAACTCATCGTAAATCTCAGATCAAACCACCTGTAAATGCTCAAAGATCTAATGTTATGCAAAATATCTTAGTAATGCATAGTAAAACACTACTTTTAAATGCTAGATGCGGGGAAACTGTTATGCAGTGGTCAAACTGTGCGTCCGGGAAATCTGAGGTACGGGGCTTAATTTCCGGTGGTGTCTGACTCTTACCATGGTGAGAGGTGAGAGGCAGGTGACGTCATATAGCCTCAGCAGCTGAGTGGGTCGTAGAGCTCCAATGACAATACTATTGGAGCCGTGGGGTACTTTGAATGAGTGTCTTTGCGTAGAGATCTTACAGACGGACAGCACTACATCAGCTGATTCTGCAGAAAGTATATGGCGGCATCACTGCGTATTTTAGAATGTTCCTTCGTGAGATGAAGCCGTCGTCAGGAAAATGCTGCTACCGCCGAACTTCTAATGCCTTGATTCACTTGTTTCTGGAACTAACTAATTTGCATGCAAACCGCATACAACCCCGTTAAAACCCAACGTAACTTTTATAAACAATGATCGTCATCCGTGTTGCTGACGAGCCAGCCGCACCCGAGTCGGCCCGGGCCGGGACCGGTCTCGCTCCACCGGGAGGGACGACACCCTACACTGGAGCTGGCGGCGGCGGCGGCGACTGGCGTCGGACGCGCACCGGTTCCCGGCGGGTCGAAGCACTCGCCGTCGCACCGCCCCGATCGGTTCCGCCACGCGGCCCGATTTCCGGCCCCGGTGGAAGGAGTGCCCGGACCAAACGCCCCCGGCGCGGGTCGCTTCACGAGCCCGTGAGCTGCGGCGCCGTCAAGCGACCAGCCTCCAACTCTCCGTTGTGAGTCACACTTTTGGGATTCGCGAGCACTGGGCGGCAAGCATACGTTAAAAGTCGGGGGGGGGGGGGGGGATTAAAAACCAGGCTTTCGAGTACAAGTGTGGTGAATTTCGAGCACGATGAATTTGGTTCCACTGCATCCAAAACCGGAGGCAAGGAGAGTTGCTAGATGTGCATAAATTATCGGGATGGGGAGTACTGGGTGTGCCTGCGCTGGACACGTCAGTGCGTTAATTATCAGGAATCCAGGTGCGTGGGACGTCCACTGACGTCCACACCCTCGGATGACATGCATTCTCTTCATGCGTCATGTCCTGCAGGGGTGTATGTCAATATGTCGGTGCGAGCAGGGATTAAGCCGCATGCGACACGACTTCCACGTATATATATATATATATATATATATATATATATATATATATATATAACACCACTTCCACGTTGCAGAAATAGCCTTGAGAAATGTTGGCTCTCCCTCAATGAAAGGTTTCACATAAAAACATCCAGGGGCGCCTCATTTCACACTGCTCACAGCAACACAACGAAACGTCAATGGGCAAAGAATGCCTGAAAAGCCCACAAGACACATGTAGAGACGTTCACCTCACAGCTAAGGGAGACGGAATCACCAGGTTGCCCCAAGAAAAGATAAGTGAGACATCACGCGCACCTGTCGCCGCGGCCTCCTCGAAGAGCCCCATGATGACTCCCACTGAATGCCTCCATAAAATTTAGGTTCCTACCGAGACCACCTCGAGGCCGCTCTCATTGCTTAGGAAAGACGTGGGTGTGAGCCTGTTGATATATTGGTCTCCGCCATATCTGCATGTGTCGAAGTCTGTTATCTGTATGGATGCATAGAAGTTTCAAGTGATGCACGTGCGATGTGAATGCGTTGAAGTCGCCAGTCTTAAACCGATCACAGTGTTGAGAAAATATCTTCAGATGCAAAAAATCCAGGTGTGCATCTTATTTACGTCGAACTATCCGTCGGTATCTGAGTACGTTAAAACCTGCGGATATTCTCGTCTGCGTCGAAGTCTCCTGGATATATATGAATGCGTTAAAGTCTTCAGGGATATGAACATGTGCAGGCGTTCAAGCCTCCACGGATACATCGCTATGCATAAGCCTTTCGTGATATATCTTTGCGCACCAGAATATGTTTGGACATGCCATCTATGTAAACGTCCCTGTTATTATATATAGAACGTCCAGAGTCTCCAGGGACCCTGTTTCGTATCTCAAAGTATCGTTGTATGACTCAATGTGTCGAGCCTCTGATGGCCTCACACACACGCGGGTAACAATACCCTGACAGACACAGCACCCGAGATACCGTAACAGACGCAGATCTCGATAGTACGACTCATGAATCTGCATCACCGGATCTCGATCCATCGCGATGCGCGATAGGTCCGCAGGCTTCACAGAAGTATTTCTACATGCAAATGCAGCTTAAATGCTGACTTTCCATGTCCGTGTCTTTCACATTCATAAATGTTTGCATCTCCATGTGCGGAGGTATAAATAGATAACGAAGAGCACGGAAGCTGAAGAGGTGCGTCACCGCTGGCACACTCCAGCTTCCTCGCTTTCAAGGCATAATGTGCAAAGTGGGCCTCGTGAGTACCGTTTGTTATTTTGCTCGGAAGGCACGCTCACGCATCGCGACGCACGCCTCCCATCTCGGGTAACGGTATCAGGCGTCGGCATGTATCCATTACTGGGTGTCGGTACGACTCGTTCGGCGCTGAGCCTCCCAGTGTTCGCGTCGCTGCTCCTCCGAGAGGATCCCGGCGTGTTCAGCTTGCTCAGGGTGTGTGAGGCGGACACGCATTAATATTCCACAAACGGTCCGCGTCTGGGTCTAATGACCCCCCCCCCCCCCTCCTAGTTGCCGGGAAGGGCCGGTCGCACACTCTGAGACCCAGGTAAGCGAAAGCTCCGACCAACAGGGAGGCAGAGCTCTCAATGGGCCAAGAAAAAAACGCGGTACAAAAAATATGCGCGGTGACCTTTAAACGGAGGGTCGTCCTACCTGTCAGCTGAAGTGGCTGCGGTCGAAGGTCGGCGTCACGTGACGGCGGGTGTCGACGGCTCGGCCCAGACCCACTCGTTCACCGGTCGGCCGCGATGGTCCCTGTCGCGGCTCGCGGGGCGTCGTAAATCGCGTCGCGTCGCGGCCCCGTCTGCCACGTCTGCCGCGCCGTGGAATGGCGCTCCCGGCCGAGCGGCAGCGACGGCGCAGCGGCGGCGGTCCGGTCGCGCTTCTCGGCGCCGTCTGACGCGCCGCCGGCGGACGCGTCTGACGGCGCCGCGCCGCCGGCCGGGTTCAACAACACGCGCTCCGCAGCGGCGGCAGACAGACATACGCGCGCAGTCGGCGCGGCGCGGGCGCTCCGCGGCCGGCGCGCGGCGGATTCCAGACGGCCCGTGCTCGCCGCCCGGCGGGCGGGGATGGGCGCGGGCGGATGAGGGCGCCGTCAGGCCCGAAGCGTCGCCCGAGGGCGGGACGGGCGGCAGGTGCCGACTTCGGAGAACAGATAGCGGCGGCGCGCCGGGCGAAAACAGCTTCTCCGCGCTTCTATCAAACCTCGGAATGTTGCTGAACAGAATGGAGGAAGGGTGGCGGCCTCGTGAGGCTGCTCGTCACCTGGTCGTTCGGTAAAGCAATGGTTCGCACTCCTCCACCATTACCTCCTACATCAGCGTCACCATGAGTGGTATTTCTGACCCTCCAAGGAGGTTGGTGGTCCAGCGGCACCCCACTGGTCGTGCGCGGCCGACTGCGCGGCAATAAGTGGCGCACGCGGCGGCCGTGACTCACGAGCCCACTGCTGGTCACTTGGCCTCCCCGCGTGACCGCCTCACTGAGCAGATGGACGGAAGTACGCCATTACGGATCGGTGCGCCACCTCCAGTTCACCGGCACCGTTAGACGACTTCGGAGCAGACAGATCAGCGCTGCAGCTCCACGAATCAGAGCTTCTGACTGATTTTGTCAGAACTGCTGTAGCCGAACGTATGTATGCGGCTTCAGAATGTGCACAGTAAGTGAACGCAATACTTGGTATCAGGTCCAGTTACTGGGGCGTGCATTTATTAGATGCTGATCTACGGAAATGAACAGCTTAAATTAGGCACCATTGTGGCTAGAGGGAGCTTCTGGGGCTATTCCCGCCACCTGGAGGTGACGTAGCCCTTGAGGCCAAACGTTCCAGTGCGTTTTGTTACTTTAAGACGCCCTCCAGACTTTTTAAACGTAACACATGACCACTAACACTTCAAAGCTAAACCTCAAGCCAGGCGATCTTCAACTTAAAAAAAAACATAGTTTCTTAGATTCCTTTGCGTTGAGGAAAAGCACCACCTGTGAACACTTCGGCCACCTCCCAGGCAAAACCCGTCTACGCCACTGAAATTAATCGTCGTGTGTCGGCCCCTTGCTCGCTATCTCGATGTTCGGTGGAGCGACTGGGTACCGCGGGAGCGCTGGGAACGAGGCTGCGAGCTGCAGGCGGCATCAGGGACAGCGGTAATGTGCTGGGGCCATCGGCGCGGCGCGCCATTTGCCGGCGTGTTGTGGCGCGAAATCTCAGTTGCGGTGTCCCGCGCTGCCGCGACCCACATCGAGAGAGCCGCGGTCGAACAGCTCCGCCGCCACCGAAACCACGGCACCCGCAGACCGCGAAAGGGGTAGGCTCGCAGCGTTTATTGCCGCGAACTTTCACAACACGAATCAACGAATACACAGCAGTTGTTATGTACAGCGGTGGTCACGGCTCACACACGGGTACGCGGGCGCACGCAGCCGGTGCATCTAAATCATCTAGTTGCACACGTTGGTAACGAAACAACAGAACAATGTCTACTGAACTGCCATATTTGGATGATGCGGTAACACCGACTCCTGGATGTTTCTGACCAATGATTGGACACCCAGTGGAGCTACTGAAAGCTGCTTCGGAAGTTATGACTGGATCAAATGTGTTCGCTCTACCTAGTGTCTGCCAATATTTCACCTGCCCCGTTAATGCCTGAGTCGTGTGCGCGAATGTACAACTGCATTCTATAGAGGTCAATGCGTCGCATACACCATAAATGCCGTGGTGTTATCAGCATTTTGCTCGCATAAATCTTATAGCTCGTGGTTCAACGCATTTTTTTTTTAAAGATCTATGATCGTAACCACCATTTGCAAGGATATTCTCTAGCTGTTTCAACTCGTAAGCAGTCGTACAGTGGCGTTTTGTTACAACAGCTACAGCACAGTGTCAACACTTAGGCATCTGAGAGCTATACGCAACCACGCAGAAATGCACTACTTAAGGTAACAGACTCGACAAGATCACAAACCCGATCTACGACCAAGCTTAAACTCTTCCATCGCCCCACACCGACAGCCGCACATGCTGTCCCGCAAAGCACCAAAGACAAACACGCTCGCCCACACGCATGGACCGACGCCCCTCTCAGCGCGCGCTCGCAGCACGGCAGCTGCCGCCCACGCTTCATTCGCTCACCCGGGGCACGGAGGGACGGTCGCCCGTTCTCGAGACACCCCGAGACAGCCGCGAGTCGACGAGCGACGGTCGGGAGGCACGTCCGGGGGCGCTGCGCATGTTGCAGCTGGCCGTCGAGATGGCCTTGTGGGCGATGGCGTCGGCGTCGTAGCCGACCATCTCCCAGATCTCCGACTGCGGCATGTCGGCGTTGGGCAACGCCACGATCTTGGGCAGCGCCTGGGACGCCAGCACGCCCGTCTTCTTGTCCGTGAGGAAGCCCAGCTGGTGCACCGTGCGCGGCACGTACGCCGGCGCCGTGGACACCTGGCGGACGGACACGCGCCATCACCCGACGCGCGGGTCCCGGCGGATGTCCCACCCCGGTCCCGGTCACGGTCCAGGCAGAGTCACAGAGCCGCGTGTGGGTACCGAAGCATGTTTCATGGCAGCAGCGGGTAAGGCCACGGTCTCGTCGTCTGGGAG